CCTGGAGCCGCCGGGCCGAGCCCCCGCCCCCTCCCCCCTGCCTGGCCTTGGGGGGTGGGTGAATGCGGGCTGAGCACTGACCCCCGGGCATCTCTGCCCCCGAGCGCGCTGGCCTGGGCCGGGGGCAGGAGCCATGGATTTCCGGGGGAAGAAGTACGAGCGGGGCAGCAACTGGTCGGACCCCGAGGTGGTGGAGCTGCTGCAGCTGTGGGCCGACGAGTCGGTGCAGATGGAGCTGGAGAGCTGCCTGCGCAACCAGCATGTCTTCAACCGCATCGCAGAGGTGCTGCGGGAGAAGGGCATCCACCGCACGGGGGACCAGTGCCGGGAGAAGATCAAGAAGATGAAGCTGGAGTACCGCCGCATCAAGGACAACAACAACAAGGCGGCCCGGGGCGGGCGGACGTGGAAGTTTTACGACGCGATGGACCGGGTGCTGACCAGCCGCCCCTCGCTGGCCTACAGCTCCCTCAGCAGTAGCATGGCGCAGCAGGTGCTGCAGGGGACGATGGTGGAGAGCTACCACCATCAGTTTGCCGCCTCCGCGCTGCCCTTCGGACACTCGCAGCACCCCGAGCTGATGGAGATCAAATGCGAGGAGGTGGACTCTGATGAACGCTGCTTGACCCCAGAGCCTCCGCCGCCCATGTCCTACCAGCAGGGCTCGCCTGACGAGCATGAGTTGGAGCGAGCCTTCTTGGACAGGGCCCAGAATGACTCTCCCATCTCCAGGGTGGAGATTCCCATTGAGACCAGTGTCTCGCCATCAGGTAGGATGGCATCTTTTCATTCAAGCCTGAGTCCTTTCTTTGGGTCTAACCTTTAGAGGTATGTGTGGGTCGAAGACATCTGCGGATGGTCGCCAACAATGTCAGTTAAATTAATTCTCTCCGTTCTATGCAGAACTCGGGGAAGAGAAACATTGTTTTACCTGCGGGTGCAGCCAACGAAGATGCTTATTTACTTATAATGTAATTAATTTACAGAACTGGCTTCCGTGGGATGCAGAACTTTGAATATCTTGATTGAGGGGGAGTGGGTAGACAGCATCATGTTGATTAACTACTGAAGTCGGAAAGGGATTTTGTCTCCCTGTCATCATAATACTTGCAGAGTGCATAGGGAGAGTGGATTGTCATTCATTGTAGTTAATTCTGGATCTTTGCCAGAGAGAGAGTGCTGAATCGGAGCATGGCAAGATAAAACACGCTGCTTTCATGCATGTGCTAGATAGATATGACCTTACTTTTCCTGTGGGACTCGACTTGGGCAATCTGATGTTATTTTATTTTATTTTTTTTTCCAGGCAGGAGTAGCAAGTGTCTATTTACACCAGTCCTAATGCTGTGTTGTCATTTTAAAGGAATTGCTGACAATTTAGTTCTCTATTTTGAAATATCCACAGGTTTCAGTGAGCCAAACATGGCCTCCTCCTCCCGGATTCAAAGCGTTGGACCTCGACCTGGCTTCTCCACCTTGCACCGTCTGCGAAAGAAGCGGAAAGGTCAGCGAGTGATGCCCCCCTGCGGAAGACCCTGACTTCTCAGCGGGCCATGGAAGAGCGCTTTTTGCAGATGGAGGAGCGGCGGTTGCAGCGGGATCTGGAGGTAGAAGAGCGGCGAATGCAGTTGGAGCAGCGGCGTTTTGAACTGGAGAGGGAGCATGAATTCCGCATGTTCAATGTTTTTGCTCAGATGCTCAGCATCTTAAAGCAGAGCAATGGTGGCTCCTCTTCCTCTGTTGCATTGCCCCGGGGCTTAGATTTTGGCCAGGCGCTGTCTGATATTGCCGGATTTGGAGGAGTTGACCTGCAAGAGGTGAGGGCCATGCACCTAGGCCGACCCGTCTCTGAGAGGAGATCCAACATGTATGGTTTCTGTAATCCTGGTGAGTTCCAGAAAAGTCCCTACCTGTCTGCAAGAGGAAACATTGCCAACATCTTTCGTGGCTCCACAGAGGAGGGTTACAAGGCCTATCATGCTGACAAATATGATGAAGACAAAAACCCCAATGTGAGTGAAGTTCCCCTGCTGTGTGCCTTTCCAGCTAGGAGACACCTGAACAAGGATGTTTGGTTTTTTGCTTTTTCTTTTCTTTTTTTTTTTAAACAGCTGGCTGAGTGTGGGCTATAATGTGATTTTTATCTCGTAGGTGCAAGTTGGCTCAACCTCTGCCTTATTAAAGCACAGAAGATTAACTACAAATGTTTTTTTTCCTCTTGTATATCAAACATTGCACTTTGCTAAGGCAACCCAAAGCTAAAGAGAGTTGCCCGTCTCAAATGAGTGTTGATCTGTAGAACCTCTGGGCTAGGAACACAAGTTACACATCAACTGGTTTAAGTGATCAGACAATGGTTAAACCTGTAATAAAACATAAGTTCAGTGCACCAGTTTAAAAATGGCCAAATCCGGTTTGAGATAAACCTGGTTGAATGTAGTATCAGACTTAACTTACCAAGGTCAAACTGCTTTATGGAACTTCTGTCCCAGACCCTTTCCTGGTTTAAGTTAAATCGGAGTTCCTCAGCATCCTGGCATGCTCTTCAGCCCTTGGCTGAGCTGTGCTGTCTGCTCCAGTGGAGCAAGGCTGGTGCCCCCGCTCCACTCTAGCAGGGGTGGGGGTGTGACCAGACACTGCCCCCCTCCAAGGCGAAAGGGGCAGGAAATGGGTTTATTCCACTCTCCCTTCCCTGTCCCACCATCACGGACCTTGGCCAGGGTCTGCCAGGCAGGGGCACAGCAGCCCCCGTGAGGCATTTTGCCCTGGTTGCTGCTCAAACAGCAGGAGCATAGCCAGCCCCAACAGCAGCCTTAAGCAAACGGGGGGACAGAGAGGGGCTTAATTCCCTGCTGTGTCCCCTATCCCACCGGCACAGACCTGAGCCAAGATCTGCCTAGCCATGGCAGAGCAGCCCATGTCAGGGTCTCCCCTCACTTGCTGCTGCAGCAGCAGCAGCAGCAGCAGGGTAAGGTATGGCCAGATGCCCACACTTGAGCTAAGTACAGACATTCAAAAAGCCCGAGCCTGAATCAGTTCATTCTTTGTAGGTTAGTCTAACCTGCATAGGTTGAACTGGCAAGCAAGTGACTAGACATTCCCTTTTGATTCCACAAATGCAGGAACATGCCTGCAGTGTCTCAGGCCAGAAGCTGGGTGGTGCTACAGCAAACCCCTCAGCTGGAGGGAAACTAATCTGTGGGGGGCGGGGTTGGCTAGGCCCCTGCAGCCTGAGTAAAGCTCGGGAGGGATTAAAATCCGCACCCTGGCCTGCACAGTCCCCAGTTGGGGTGTGCCTGGAGGGGGAAGCAGCCACTGCCAGGCATTTCCCACCCTCCCACCATGCCACTCAAGTGGTGGGGGCATGGCCAGCTCTAGCAGCAGCCTCAAGTGAATGGGGAAACGGAGAGGAGTTTAATTCCCCACTCCCTCCCTTGTCCCACCAGGATGGACCCCAGCCGTGGTCTGCCTGGCTAGGAGAAGAGCAGCAGATGTGGCAGCTGAGGCTGGAAGATCCCGGCTGGGGTTCCCTGTGGGGAATAAAACCCCTCCTTGCCCCCTTCATTTCAGAGGCCCATACCAGCCAGGATCTGGCCATTCCCCTGCCACTGCTGTTGGAGCAGTGAGTGGGGAGTGATCCTGACACAGGCTGTTCTGCCCCAGCCAGGCAGATCCCAGCTGGGGCACAAGCTGGTGGGACAGGGTGGAGTTTGTGTCACTGATTCTTAGAAAGGTATGTTTTGCATTCCAATTAAGGCATCATTCAGAGCTTAGGCTGCCTTTTTACTTCTTGCCATTCACTTACCCTGTACAGGTCTGTGACTTTCCCACCTTGGATTTCCTGTGTTTCAGTAATGCTCTCATCATTCACCATACCAACTATAGCCCAAGAGACAAGCTTCCATTTTTCTTCATTGTTGTCTATTTTTGTTTACAATATACATAGATTTTTAAATTGATATATAGATATATAAATAAAATAATAATAATATCATAAACATACATTCTTGGTATTTATCTTGGTGATTTTGTTTTTGTTTGTTTGTTTTTGTTTTTTAATTTGACTGACTCATCCCAGGCTGAGAGCAAAGATACATATAGCAGATTTATTCTCTATGGGATTTATTATGTCAGATTCTGAGCCAGGAATTACAGATTAGCATTTCTTCTCTCAAGCGACAGTACTGCAACCTGCCTTTTCTATTTAGCTCTGTAAGAAAAGTGAAGTTTCTATGAATACATTTTTAGAGTGGAAATTCATTGTCTGATGAGTGCAGAATTTTGGATAAAGAAATATTTCCAAAAGACAGCTGAAAATGTGTTGAGTATAAATCCCAGCTCTCTCAGCTAGGAAGAATTATATGAAGTCAGATTTATGCTCCCATGAAATGAATGATTCAGTCATATGTTTTGTTAACGGATATAAGCCTTGGGTTTCTACCTGTTTCCAGAGCATTTGCTAACAAATAAATCCAGGTTGCACAGCAGCAGCTCCTGTCTCTCAAAAATCATTCTCTTTTTTTTTTTTTCCCTAGGGGATAATTAATTTTGGTACCAGTGAGAATAAACTCTGCTTTGATCTGATGTCCAAGCGGGTAAGTTGGCAGTACTCCGCATAATTTCTCCTGGGTCCTACACTTGGACACATGGTTTGATGATATCATTCAGATCGCTGTGAGAAACTTATTTCTCCATGAGTGCATATCTGTCAGGGTCTCCCGTCTGCTCTCATCACCCATCCTGGCTGTGCATTTCTGTAAGTTATCCTGACAGAGATTGAAAAATGAGGTTTTCTATTACCCTTCCTTGTGGTACAATCTTGGCCTTTGGGGACCTGACATCTTGGAAAAACTAGATACAAATGGGAAAAAAAAAATGATTTCTTCATGTTGATGCGTCTTCATTTAACACAGAGGTGGTAACCCTAAGCTTCAGAACCTGTTTTGCCATTCCTCAACATTCAGCTCAGAAGAGGTTGATAGAGTCTGTTACCAAGCTGTACAGTTTTGAAGTTTTCCAAATCTTGGCAGAGTTTGGCATAAGTGAACAGTAGCATCGATTATGTCATGATGGATAAATTAGTGAGCCTCTAAATGGTCATCGTGGTCACTTACACTAGGGAAAGGCCTGATACATAGAGTATAACTCAAAAACTTTGGGGGCTTGCCCTGGTTCAGGCTGTTGTATGGAAAGACAACAGTTTATCCTATGTACACATTTCTTTGTGGGTAGGGTTGGTGTTGAGTACCTGGCAGAGCCAGGCTCTACTGGAGTTCACTTAAGTTCTTTCTCACACTTGCTCCCATTTCACTTCTGTCTGTCCTCAAAATTTTCCTTATTTTATTTCTGCCTGCTATGCCACGGACTTCGGGGTATGTCACCCCAACATTCAGCTTTCCAGCTAGCAGAACAGGTAAGGCAGAACTGCTGCCTGGTAGCTGTGTGCAGAAACCTGCAAGGTGCCTTGTAGGGTGTGTAGGCTGTTTCTTCTCCCTGTACTTCATCCCTTTTTGTCAGTGTAAGGTGTGCAGTAAATAGGATGTGGGAGAGACAGAAGACAACTGCGTTCACATTAGCCTTGCGGAGACAGCGGATTATTTCTACTTCATTCATCCTTATGCTGCTGCTAATTTCCATGTATGTTACATTAGACATGGAAATGAAAAAATATGCTTCTGACTTTTGAATTGCTTCCCTTTAGTGTTTATAGCATTAACTCACAGAGCTGTATACCTGTTGGGCCTATGAGAACACAGATTTTTCAGAAATTGATGGGCAATGCCTGTTATATGCAGTGAGGAAAAAGTAACTTATTGGATTTCTGTCTACAGCCTCTGACCCATAACCCAAGCAGTATCAGACATGACATCCTAGGGATGAAGTCTTGGATGGTTTTCCTTGCCAGCTGGTCCATATGATTTGCTCGTCTGTGCAGTATCACCTTTAAGGTCCCTCTGGCTTCTTGTTGTGTTGTCATTTGGGCCAAGGCTTTTGATGTGTATTCTGATGCTGTATTCTCCAGATGAGTTCAAGAAGGAAATCTGAGGCGGCATGCTTCTACATTAAATAGGTTTCAAGAGGCATACAGAAGTGAATAGAGGAAAATACTATCTGAGCCTGTAGGTTATAACCTGCTAGGTTATAATTCTGCCTGGAATGAGGGTCAATATCATTTCAGCACTCAGAAAAGGAAATCAGAATCCTAGTTTTGTTACATTTTTTATATCTTGAGAAAATATTTTCATCTGCCCACTGATTTTCCTTCTATTCCTTTTGTAGCTGCCACCTGTCCCTTCGCATCTCTTTAATCACTGCCTTTAAATTTGGTCTCCTTTTATCAAATCCATGAAAATGCACCATGTATGAAATTTTGTTTCCTTTTCATTTATGAAAAATAGCCTTCTCATCACTACTGTGGTTCCTTTTGTGACTTGGTGAATTGGACTGCTTGAAGTCCTTCTGATTACTGCCTTGAAAATATTGAAAAGAAAATAATATATGCATTTTATTTAAATATAAACAGGAAAAAAGTCCTAAAGGCTACTGATCTTGGAGACAATGGAGAGTGAAACTCCATATGAAAC